TATTTCGAGAAAATGAATTGTACTGTGATTTGACGGTGGCAAGGTATTCTTTGAGTTCTGCTTTTATTGCTCTATATCGACGCCGTACAGGTAGGATATTAAATAAATTGTTCCCAACGTTTGGTGTGGGATGTGGTACCTGCCTACTGAATCCTTTCTTGTTTCATAAGCTTCTGAAATGCACAAGGTCGTGGATTGTTATTGTGTCACCGTCGATACAAAACATTTTATTTGTAGAGACGAACCTTATTGATCATGCGTTGCGGCTATTTGATTTTATGCCTATTGTTTGTCTAACATATCAAGGCTGGTGGTTGTATGCCAAGTGATAATGAAAATTCAAGTTTGAAACAGCGATGACGCAAGACCATTAAAAATACTTACTTGAGTTTTCGGCATCATTCCATTTGCATAGCTTCTCGGCCTTCATTACGCAGCCATTCTGCAAACTTTGAAATTGGAAAAAACAACACAAGCTATATTGTTTCAATGGTTTCAATTTCGGTTTGGCTGGTCTTGCATTCGGTAATTAGCACCTCCAGGTCCGGCGCGGCGGTGCGGTGCGAGATGCTCACGCGAGGGACAATTGCGGCCAGATACCGCAGCACAAATACTTACATTTATCGAAGCACCATAAACTTCCAATCACTGCGCACGAGTCTGTTTCGAGCCGACCTCCGAGATCCCGTTGTTATCTTTGGTATTTTATAGGGATCAGTAAAACGCCGGCAATGCAAAGCGAGTGGTGGGCATTCCATATACTTCTATCCTCCGGTCCGCTTGCCGTCGGCCCGACTGACGCGATGGTGGTTTACCACACAATTGATGAAGAATGTATTACGCGTAATTAAAAAGCGATAACTATTTATGTTGCTTAGCACGCTTTGAAAATTTTGTAGCGAGCCTTTGATGTGGACTTTGATCCGATACAGGGCCCGCACTCGCACATCACATTTAACTTCGCCATTAAAAACAAAATGTTCGCAATTCATCTATACGACTTAAGTTTAATATTTATACCTCATGGAGTCGTAAAACGACGAATAATGACGCTGCGGACGAGTGGACTAGCGCTGTAATTACTGCGCGCCTTTATACAACTTGCTGGGTGCTTTCTTGTTGTTTGATGCTTAAATATTGTAGGAATACGATATGGACCTTCGGGGCTATTCTGTTAGCTTGAACGTAAAGCGAATGACGCACGGTATGCTATAGCATCTCCATTGCAAGCAAATAGTAGTATTCAATAAATTGTCGGCAATCCGCTCTGACAGACTGAGATAAAATATTACTTAAGTATGGATTGGAAAACCTTTGGCCGCATTATTTATTATTTACAGCGTTTACAGTTTGATGTTGAAAACAACATTGTATATTTCTGGCTCCATTCCTTACCAAATCGCAAATTTTAGAAATATTTGTAGTGATCTACACAATGATTCTTTAGAAGTACGTACGTACAATAATACGCATGCACATCTAAAAGAAAATCCGTCCAAAATGGTTATTTTGTAAATATTTATATAAAAAGCTGTCTATTTATATGACTTAGGTAAAACAGTGGCAGGTAAAATATGTCAATAACTATTATATACAATATGTATACGTATTCTTAATTAACAAACAGAAAAAATACTTCTTTAATTTGTTAAAATATTTCTCCTTGGTCCTACAGCGTCACACAAAAAAAAAAGTGTAGTTAAATAGTAGCGTGTTTTGTAAAGCCCAAAACACTTGTTATCTATCTTCAGTTTATTTATCAATTTATCACTTCCCTTCAAAACAATACACTAAATTTAATTAAATAGGTATTTTATCGGTCAAAAAGGGCAAAAATTCGTAGCAAAGTTTTCTTAATAAGAGAACAAAGCGTTGTAGGTATCTAATTAATCACATTTTGCTGGGTTTAAGATAAATAATTATTGTTGTTTACGGCAGCACAAAAGAGCACTCGTGTCCGATTTATTTTGTATAAATTGTATACATACCTATATGAAGGTAACCCAACTATTGTGTCCCCTTTCCAAACTAACGTAATCGACATTTTAAGCGGTATGTAAGCTGTAAATGGTTTTTTATATACCTACCTTATTTAGTTTCAAATTTATTGAATTCTTAGTTTTTCGCGATTACACATGGGAAATGAAATTACTTTTTCGGATTTAAATCGCGTATATTTGTTTTTTTCAAACAAACCCACGTTTCGTGTCCTATACAGGTCCCATGGTCACGGTTAACTGTTCAATTTTATTGTTAAGCAAAATCAACGTTATATTGACATTTTTCAAAGAAAAAAAAAGAAGTTTAGGTGCCAATATCTCGAAGGATGCCAAAATGCAAATGCGTTAGTTATGATGACAAAGATGGATGGTACCTATTAACGAGCCAATTTTTTCATTGGTTTTTTCAAACGGTTTTCATAACGGAGAATTGGATTAAACATTAAATTCACGCTATACAGATTGTTTTTCAAAGAAAGAGTTTTTAAAAAGAAGGCTGAAATTGAGTACAAATATTCAATATCCATGTTGTCGTCTTTGAGACCTTTGGTACTAGTACTACCGTTATTTATGCGGAAATATTTAATATTACAGCAAAATATATTTGAAACATTTCACACCAAAGACCATTAATGAATATATGATATAGTTATCTATTCAATATAGGCCATAAGAGTTTCAAAATTGTCATATAATTCTGATACCTGTTGCGTTTTCTGAATTTTTTCGACTCGAAAGGGGTCTGGGACGTTGAACCGCAGTCCGTCGCGATAATAGGTTCTATAAACATTGGACGAAAGAGATCGTGAGCCAAACTCAATAAAATATCCGGCTTATTTGCCAACTGATTTCGTCCGACCATGTAAAGTACAGTTTTTAAGCAGTTGAGAGGCATATTACGAGTTTGCCGGACATACTCTATTCGTTGAATTGAAAAAGCAGACATTACAATTTTTTTAATGGTATCAAGTGACGCGATGAACAAGTTGTGCGCCTGGTGTTAAGCAATACGCATGTTCATAGCAATTGCTCTGCCACTCTGAGCTTTAAATCGCAAAGATCTGAAGGACACTGCCACTACGCCTACAGGGTGACCTGAGACATAAGTTGACAAGTCTCATGTGCCTGTAATTTCACTGGCACATTACCCTTCAAATACACAACGCAGTAATGCTCACATTAATACTTGATGGCAGAAAAAGTAAAGGTAGCAGCACTTCCTTTGACAAACTCGTTCAAAGGAGTAGAGCTCTACTGTTACTTTAGTAATCATTAATGAACATATATTATTCCGGACCTATCAAACAATTTAAGAATCCCTTCGATAGGTCTGGAATAATATGTTCGTTGATTTTTTTTGGGTAGGTATAAGTTAATCACAAAAAAACGTCGTTAACTTGTCACACAATAAACAAAGCTTTTATAGGTACAGAGAATTGTAGAAATATTGTGTGGTAACAGAAATAAGTGATAAACGTTTTAAAGTGCTACTGAAATATGCTAATGCTAATATTAATATTTGCGTTTCACGGCGTACTTACTGTTGATATATGTATAGGATCTTATTCAATAACCACATCCTGAAAACTCCATACAACAGTCGAAAATTATTTACCTACTACTACTACTACATACAGCAAGGCGCGAATGTGTGCGTGAAGTGGCAGAGTAAAAAAAAAAGGGTTACCTACCCATCACTTGCTCGTACTATTACGTTACGTGGTCAGAGCGGCAACATAGCGAAAATTCTAACGCGAATCTGTTATCTACAATTCTATTATAGAATCCTAATAATCACACACGTTCATTACGTATTTATATCGATATAATATTATATTTTTTATTAATTCACTAACTAGAATAATATTGAAGATTTATTTAAAAAATTAAATGCACTTAAAGTGTTATATTCTGGACAGGTACCTTTAAATAAGGTAACCAAAGTATTTGAAATTGCGTATCCAACTTTACCATTACCTAGTTAATAATTAGGTATATTCACTACGTAATATTTATCGGCAATACACATTGAAAATTCTAGAACCCTTGTCTAGTTCACGAAGTTATGGCGTCTTATTATATTGATATAATTATTCTGTATTATATATTACTCTGCACTAAAGAAAACAATAACTGAATGAGTCTCAGACATAAGTTTTTTTACTTACTTCGTTTCATCTTTCAAAAAACGAAAGAAACTCCTCTCTTTATCCCGTTTAGATGATTATAAACAGCTGTACACAGCACAATTCACGACCATTATAAATAGTAACGTAAAATGATGTTATACATTAACGTACAAATTTTGTAATGAATAAATGAAAACTATATTCAAACATCAAAGCCGTCTTTGCGCGAAATCGGCTCGCCGAAAGCCTTGTACTCGTTCAGTCAATGTGACCGTCAATGTGCGGGGCGTGGTGCGGTATCTAAAGCTAGGGAGGGGCGGAGAGTGTCCGTTCTCATGACTTATTTGTTCTCTGGTAACAGGGTAACTTTTCCAATTGAGCTGCGAGTGATGTTATACCTACTTACTAGCGAAATGTAAAAACATAAGTAATATTACAATATTTGCCAGCAATGAATCTATGTTGAAAATTTGGCAAAAGAGTTTCGTACCGTCTTAGTTTGATCCCATTTTGGATATTAATCAAACTCAATTTTTAAACATGATATGGAACCAATAGGTACCTACGTAATTCGTATTAAATTCCTATTAAAATTTTGACGAAGATGAACCAACTTCACGTATCAAGTTTCCTAGGCAATACACAGACCATGGAAATACTATGAAATAACGTACATTATAAAATTTTCTGTACAAGGTTCTAAATGAGTGCTGTCTCGTACACACCTCCGCCACAGCTAAACCGATAGCGATAGCAACAATGTTATCAAATATCTAATATAGACGTGTCCTTTGGTAAAGTAGTCTCTTAATAGATTTGTAATATTAGTGATTTATTGAGAAATTTGCATGTAATGTGTTTTCTTTACAGCATGGCCGCGTCGCACATCCTAAGCGCGGTAGAGCCGACAGTGGGCGGCGGCGGCGGCGGCGGCGCGCGCGGTGGCCGCGAGCGGGATGTCAATGTAGCTCTAGACGATCGAGAGCTCTGGGTGCGCTTTCAGACCCTTACTAATGAAATGATTGTTACTAAAAATGGACGGTGAGTAATAAATATAACATTGTATTATCCATACCATATAACATCGACATAAAAAACCGACCTCATAAGTTCGTGGAATTACATATATTTGCCAAGTTTTAATGAAATTGGCTGCGGGAACCGGATTCATTCCCTAGTTTGCCACCCTTAGAGGTAGAATATTTTCTTCAAATTTAAATGGGATCACTGAAGTACCCTCTATCCAATAAAAAAAAGAATCATCAAAATCGATTCACAAAATGCTACACAAAAACCAAAGTTGTTGCGTAACATACATATACAAAAAAATATACAGTCGAATTGAGAACCTCCTCCTTTTTGAAGTCGGTTAAAAACAATACAGAGCCTAAAAAATATTACTTGTTACGCGGGTGTAAGTATCAATTTCGATTCTCAATTTCGACACATGTGGCATTGTTCGATTTGCTAAAGAGTCTCATACATACATTCATAATGAGATACTTAGTCAATAGAGTCAATAAAGATTCAAAATGGCGGACATGTACCTAAGTCCAATGGTCGCTCGTCACCGAATAGAAGACATCAACGACATTACTTTACGAGTTCACATCACAAAACGGGTAAAATTATTATTATATGTACACATTATAACAAAATAATCTTAAATTGAAAAAAATGAACAAACGAGATTTGTTCATTTTTCGTACGTTAAGCAGGATTTAAAGATCGTAACTAAACAGAAAGTAAAATGTTGTCTTAAATATCAAGGTAGCGTATATTGCGCATTGCGTATAGTATAATGTCAACACAGTCTGGTCATTTGGGAGAATCTCTACGACGATTGGCTTGTTAAAATCAGCAAAGTTAAGTCAGTCGTCGCGGAAAGGGTTGGGATCATGGGATGCATTATCATTAATATACTTTTCGACATAATGTTCAGTTGTTTTATTATTTATTATTTTACGAAGATTATTTTATAGGAAATGAAACTATTTTTCCGGATTTAAATCGCGTATATTTGTTTTTTCAAACAAACCGACGTTTCGGGCCCTTTACAGGTCCCATGGTCACGGTCATGGTTGACTGAGGTGGTACAGTCTTCAACCAGTCATAACTGGTGTAACAATCGCGAAAACCTAAGAACTCGAAGATTATTTTATTTTTCGTAGTTACTTAAAAAATATAAAATGTAGCAGTAACCATATCGAGTTCTTAGGTTTTCGCGATTGTTACAC